AGGGTCTAGGCCCGAAACGTCAGCCTTCCTGCTCCTCTGATGCTGCTTGGCCTGCTGTGTTCATCCAGCTCTACACCTTGTTATCTCTGGCCTATACTAGTGTTTATGTTCCACACTCGTCTAAACCCCGAGGTATTCAAAGCGCAGCAAGGAAAAACTCCAAATAGGTGGGCAGCATGGGAACACTGTGGATAGGTGGGCTGGATGGGCAGAAAGGTTTGCAGAATATCTTACTGTCACTAACTGGTGCTAAAATATTGCTTCTGGGTTATCAGTGGAATTTGAATGTAATACTGGATGCGGAAGACTGTGAATAATCATAGCCCATGTATCATCCCTCAGACTTGGTGCAGTAGCTGAGCCCTAACTCTCTGCTATGGGTAAAACAGTAGATATCTGAGAATGAGCCATCAGCAACAAAGATGCGGTGATTGTGGCAAGTGCTGTCAGAACAGCAGCACCTTCAGACAATGGGTCTGATTTAACTCGGAGAAAGCAGATGGGTTTGAGTACATTCAAATGTCATCCATTTTTCCCAGGAAACTATATTTCCTGAAACATTTCCCGAAGCTCCAGGGAGCATGGGCCAAGCATATTGCTAACCGAAATGACCGTGATCATTGTAGCTTAATATCATAACAAAAAAAGAGGCAGCCAGATATGTCAGCAGGAATGTTTAGACACTGTTAGTAAACAGCCTTCCTCATGCTGGGTGAAATAGTCTCTCATGGTCAAAACAGTTACATTCAAATGGAATAAGCTTATCTCAGCCCTTTAACAAACCTTGTTCTCAACAGAAGAGCAAGTCCATATCTAAAGGCCACCCCAGCTGCAAAGCTTGGTTGTATAGTTTTGCGAATCACTCAATGCAACACATGCAGACAAGGATTGGTTTAAACCAGCGTGATAAAGGCAGCAGGTTCCCATTCCCAAGAACATCAGCAAACAGGCTGAGGCTGTTTTTACGATAGCTATTGTGGTCATGTTTTCTGACTCACTGACTACAGGATGTATTTAATTTGGTTCCATAGCTTGCCCAGGTTTGTACTGCACAGTCTGTGAACCATCATCAAAACCACAACCCCGCAGTAGCTTACAAAATAATCAGAAATCAAGAAAACATTTCTTTTTCTGTAATGTTTTTAAGGTGGTCAGAGCCATTGTAGTATTTAAAGAGCTAAAATGATCAATAACTATGCACATATTTAGGCCTGCTTTCTGTCAATGGGAATTACTTACATATTAAAATGGCAAAATTAAAAACAGTTCAGGGTTTCTACATCCTTGCAGTGGGGTGGGGGCTGGCTTAGACAGCAACCTAATAGAATCAAATATCAAGTGATTTATTTTCTGTGGATTCAATACTTTTACCTGGAGATTCTATTGTTGATATTAATGAGCCCAGATAGTGTTTGTGATGATGGGTTGTCATGGAGGTTTGCAATATATGAGAAATGATTACTTTAACTGCCATCTTTGTGTTTCAGGATGCTTTGAAGCATTTTATTGCTCAGAAAATACTTTCAAAATGTAGTTACTGCAAGATACAAAGCAGCTATTATGCACACAATAAGATGCTGACCAAATAACCTTTTCTATTGGTATTGGTTATGGAGAGATAAATATTATCCAGGACATAAGAAAGAATTCCCTTGTTCTTATTTAAATAGTGGC